GCTACGCTGGTGGTACAATAATAATAAAACAGTAATAATCACAATAATACAGGCATATAATGATTTAAATAGTAAATATTTACATCTTAAAAATGAGCAAAATATCTCCCTTTAATTTTCGGTAGTGTTTAGAGGTATTGTAGTACTATATGTGATTGTTAACTGTCACCAATAAAGGAAACAAAATATTTTTCCATACAGTACAGGGTCAGCATTGAAGTGTGTACAAAAACATCTGTCATTACTCACAATATTCAATTAAAACTGTTCATCACATAAATCTTAACTCTTTTCCCCACAACAGAGTGATAAACTGCTAAAAAACAATGAAAATAAGTGAATAAATAAATGCATAGGTAAATAAAAATGATAGTGTGTTGAGTTAATGTGTCATTCAACTCACTGCTCTTTCTATTTATCTCTTTTTCCATTTCTTTACCTTACTCCTGAGAAATAAAAGCTTACACCCACTAGCAAATGCATGGCATAGTAATGGAAATAGTCTGCCTAAAACATGACTAGAACATGTGTGAGAATCCACTAACATTTTACTTAGCAGTGAAACTCGAGAATACCATCTTACAAAGTAATGCAAATGCAATATGCAAAACATAGCAAATAAAAAAAATACATAGTGCTGTACTGTAATTCTAGAGAATTTCTGAGAAAATATCCATGGATAAATTCTTTTATTTCTTGCTGCACCGCATTAGATAGTCTGCCTGTTCATCCTAGTCCACTCTTTTCCAAAATGGAAAAAAATTCTCACTCATTTTTTTCTCATTTTGAATGTGTTCCATGTATTTGTGAAGTTGGAGGTGCTTGCTTAGTCAGGTAATTGAACAATTCACAATTTCATACCTGACAACATAGTATAAATAGCAGTTGTTTATTAATATTGCACAAAAGGAACACTTGAAAACACAAACACCACACTATTATAATACAAACTGAGCTCACTTTCATCTAATGATGAAACTGTGATGTACAACACAGCACAAAAATTCTGTATTTCTGAGTGCACCATAATACAAAAAGAGTCCACAACAACCACTCATAAATGCACCAAAACAAATGTTCAAGACACATAATTACTTATAAAGACAAAGTTTTAACATAATTCTTAGTTACTTATTTGTATCTATAATTGGCAAAATTAGACAAAATTTGTGTCGTTTCTTTATCTAGTACCATATAATTAAGATAATTGGCTTTTTGTCAGAATTAGGTATTTCAAACATAAGCTCATTGCAATAAAGATGGGCCAAAGACACTAACAAAATATTTATTCAACCATTCTGTCATGGATTCAACTTAAAAAAACTTACATGGTAAACAAATTATTTAGTTGGTTAGATAAAATGGTTAAAATTGTTAGCATTTATGTTCAAAGCTCAAAAATCAATAGTAGTTTTGGCTAGAACAAAATTTCACGCAGTACTATCCATTCCCTATGAAACTGTTATCACTGTTGCTTCTTAATAAAAAACATATATCGTACATAAAATCAACAATGATTATAATTAGAAGCTAAGCAGTAAATGCTCTATCGATATTCACATGTGAACCTTTAATTCACAATTAAAATCATTAGATTGTTACTTAAGAGATCAAGAATGAGGCATTGGCTTAATATCATTTCAATTTCCACACAAAAATAATAAATAATAAAATTTGATTTTCTTTCTTTAAACTTCCCCAAAAGGAGGGAAATTAAATTAAATGAAAACCTGACACAAAAGAGACCACTGTAACAATTCTTTCTTCGACAAAAAAGGGAAATCATTAACAAAGAGGCAGGTTTTTTTTTTTTTTTCACTTATGAGGCATGAGGATTAAACCCTTCACAATTCCCTAATTACATTTCTGGCCCCTCAACATGAGCTTTGACATCTGAGTTGATACGTCATGCCTCATAGATTTAAAAAAAAAAATCTTAGAAATTAATTCCTTGTTTGTATTAATTCTGAAATCTCTACTGTTCACTTCCCAATGGCCTAATTTTCACTTTATAACTAATCCTCATCTTTTATTTCGCAAAAATTTTCCAAAAAGCAGGACAGTCTTATTCACCTACAGCCAGAAGCGTAAGAAACCATTCCAACCAATAAGGATTTCAAATACTGCAAATCCACTAAAGGAAAATCAGATTGCATACTTTGCTTAGTTCTACTGCTCTCCTCAAGCAAATTTGTTACATCTTTCAGTACAACTGGAAATCATTAGTGACTACAACATACTGTATTCCTACCCAAGCTCATAAATGGAGGGATTTTATTTGACAAATCCAGACTTCTGCCCTTACCTTAACAAGATGCAGGATTTTAGTCTTCTACTAATAATGTCCATTAGAGAATAATCATTTCAATACATGAAATATCAGTGTATTAACTAGTACCACTGTTACAATATTTCTAATTTCCCCAAAGCTTCTCCCATTCCCTCCAAACAGCATGCAGTCCACAGATGAGACCTCACATAACAAACTGTTGCTCTACTTCACCAATGAGAAGCCATGTTACAAAGGGGCTTTACAGCAACCACCAGTAGGATACAATGTTACATGTCACCAATGAAAATTTACGGTACATGTAAGCCTTAATTTAACCACCAATGAGAGGCCGTGTAACAATCTGGTGAAATAATTTCAGCCAATAGAATGCTGTGTTACATCTTTAGTGCATTTTCTGTATCACATTTCCAGCCAGCTCCTTGATAGCCTGTGAGGTATTGGAGGACAGAATGTCCTCCAGAAGTTTATGCAAACGTGTCTCGGTCATGAAACTTTCTTTAAAGCTTGGGTCTGAAATTAAGAACAAAATAAGTTCAATGCTTGGGTCCAAAATGATATAATAATTTAAAATAAATAAACTTTCGTAGTTGATTAGACATAAATGTTAGATTAATTTTTTTACTTAACATCTTGAATGAAATTTGCCCCTGAACAAAACAAAAATTAACATTAACAAATCAAATCAAATAACTCACTGTTAAGCAGCTGTTGTAAAGTCCACAGGGCAATGTGAACAAAACTGGGCTCAGGATTCCCAAGGAATTTGTCAATGTAGAGAAGTAAACCTGGAGTATTTTTGTCTAACAGATCCTCTTCAATGTCTGGAACGTAAGAAGATAAGGTCAGTATATTAGAAGAAAAACTCGCAGAATTAAAACCAGTTATACACATCAACCAATGGTTTTAGACGGATTACTTGCCAACCAAATCAACCAGTTTCAGATGGAATACTTCTCAACTAAGGAAAGGGATAATTTTACATGGAGTACCTACCAATTAAGGCAAGGGATAAGTTTACATGGAGTACTTACCAACTAAGGCAAGGGATAATTTTACATGGAGTACTTACCAACTAAGGCAATCTGCCCTATAGTTCCTGCACAATTGTACTGCACTTCAGAGTTTCTTGACAGAGAAGCCAGGGAGACCAGCTTGCTGAAGACTTTACCATCCTGAATCTCAAGAAGTCGCTGTTTTGTATCATCTGTAAAAATAAACACAGTCATTTACTGCTTGGTACACCTACTGGGAATAAGTGTTGATTAACAGAAAGAGAGCGATTTACGGGTTTACCTGCCTGGTGGCTGCCATTTTTGAAAATAAAGCAATATTTGCTGAAAGTATTTTTTATCAACTTTTTTGGCACTTGCAAAATTTCCCTACTGACTGCAATAAAATGTTATAGTAATGGAATTTCTTTTAATTTTTTGTTAAATGAAAAAACCTTTGTTCTCAGTATAAATGATGTGAAATGTCTTATTTTTATAAAGACTAAAAACACATTCAACTGGTTGGTGGTCAGTAAAACTGAAAATCAGTAGGAAAGAATAAAATAATACAACCTTCAATTTTCATTTTTTTTCTTTTGTTGACAGCAAAAACTAGTAACTTAGAATTTCATCATGATTTTTAAAATTTTTAATTTCAAAAAAAAAAAAAAAAAACATGTTGGCTGGTTGCCTGTAAAACTGAATATTTAAAGTAGGTGGCCTAATTGTGAGCTTGGAACAAACAGAAACAACTCTGGTCTGTTCCAAACAAGGACAAAGAATGTTGCTACTGCTCATGATGATGATATTGATGATGATAAAGTTGATGATGATGATGTTAATAACGATTATAATAATGATGATCATGGCCTAACTGTTCTGTGAACTCACCTTCGTCAGCCAGCACAGCTAATGCTGCAGACACCTCACTCTGTACAGGGACTGGAGTGATAGGGGTGAGTAACACTTCTGCCAGGGCGTCTACACAGCCACACGATGCTAATACCTAGAATAGATAAATACAGCAAGGGATTAAGATTTTGTGGTTGACCTATAAATCGGCAGTCAAAGCTGGTTCACTGCTAAATGCATGTACATGTATGCACGCACAGGCACACACCCACAAATACACGATAAAAACTTTATGTTTAATGCTAATGTTTAACAGAAATATAACGTACAGTTGAGAGGCTTCCATGCAATAGAACCGCAAGTGATACACCCACAGGCTATAAGCCAACAGGTAATAGGCATACAAGTGATAGGATCCAGTGAGACTGGCACATATTAAATAGGCCCACTTTTGTATATCACACATTGATGATCCCCCCAAATTTCCCAACAATTAAACCCTGCATTCCTCACCCTAATATGGTCCCCTGCTGCAAGATTTCTGATTGTCCCGGCGGCGTGGCGTTGTGCTTCGGAATTATCCATCTGTGCCACAACCCTACTGAGATCTGGCAAAAAATCTTGCGATATAATAGGAATCTCATTGGCCTTGTGTATGGACAAATTTCGCAGACAGGCAATGGCAGCGGTGAGGATGTCTCCCGTCCCACTTTTGATCATCTTATGCAGGACGCCTAGTCCTCCAAGACGAACTATGAGCAGTTGATTGTCTGCGTCCGAGGCGAGATTTCTCAGTGCTAGACATGCTTGGCACTGTACCTAAGGAAAAAGAAGAATAATTATGAGATATCTCTATCATCCCCGTAGTTTTCCCAAGATAATTTTATGGTTATTTCTCACATACTTTGCCACTAATCAGTAGGTTTTGTTTTCTTAAAACAATGTTTTGTGTATGATTTTAAATATTTGATTAGAAATTTCCAATTAGTAGATAAGGTTTAAGACAGAAAGTTATCTTAAGTTTGTAGCTAATTATAGTTATTATTCTCTATAAAATAACATATTCAGAATAAGTGTAATATTTGACATTTGTGTGCTATACAACTACTCATATTTAAAAAATTATCTTAACACACACATATCCAAATTCTAAGATATTAATATTTTTAACTAAATCCTTTAATTTAGAAACACTATTAAAAACAACTCACCCTAACCACAGGAGAGGAAACCAGACTAATCAGCTGTACCATGACATCATAGTAACCCACGGCAACCATCATGGCTCGATGTTTCTCATTGACCGCCATATTACTGAGAGCCGCAGCGCAGTAGTATTGAATATCTGGGTCGCGAGATTGCAGAACATCAACTAGGATAGGCATTGCCCCTTTGGATACCAGTTCATTTCTAATAGATTCTGGAATTAAAACCACACTAATTATTTTTCAAATCTCATAAAATGGGCACACCATTATCATTTGAATTACACCCCTTTTTTAGTTCTTAATTACTAGTTTTATCACTACAAAAGTAATTTACTAGTCTCCATCTCCATAAACAGAGACTTGAACAGAAACGTAACAGACTAAAAGACTGTAACTTTCTCAGCAGTTTTGTATTGGGCCTACCCTCATCTGGTGATTTAGACAACGCTTTAAACTTATTTGCTTATATAAAGGTCTTATGCTCATTGTGGGCCATAAAAACCAAACAGATGTCTAAAGGTCTTTTAAAAAACAGGGAGGTCTGTCCTACTGCTTTCCACGTACGTAAATGTGTAAGATTGAGTATGGCTCCTGCTGCATTTCTCTGCACGCGAATGTCAGCGCTCTTGGCCAGTCTGAGTAATGGTTTAATGGCGCCAGACTTGGCGATGGTCAGTTTGTTGTTGTCTGAAGTGGCAAGAGTAGTGATACAGCCACATGTGTTGCACTGAACTTCAAAATTTTTTGTTTCCAGGAGGCGAACCAATGCCCTGATGGCGCCACTGGTCAGGATCGTGGTCTTGTTGGACTCTAGAAAGAGAAAGCGTAAAAACTGATGAAAATGGCCGACCACAATTTGCATGCCAAATCTTATTGATGCTGTTACTGAACTGTTATAAGATGTAA